GTCATCATTCAGTATGTATAAAGTGGATACCAAAGCACAGTAAGTCTTATATTAATCAGTAGCACTAAGTACTTACAGCGGCTTGTTTATAAGTCTCGTACTCAACTAGAGCGTAGCCTTTGAGGAAGCCTGTGCGTCGGTCCAGATTCAGATGAATATTCTTTATCTCACCAAACTCGGAAAATTGATTCTGTCAACAAAACAAACTAATATTGTTTCCACTGATCGAATCACCGATCCTTATAAAAAAAGGGTGCGTGTACTTATGTACGCGCGTAAGAAGTTATACTTTATTTTTATTAATTTTTATTTTTTTTTAGATGTTAAATAAATATATTTAATGTTAATAATTTAATAATATTTAGTATGAATTATATTAAAAAATAATTTTGTCATTTATATTAGTAAAAAATAAATGCTAATCACACTTTTTTTTACGAGTGAACATGCGCGAAAGTTCACCTGCGGCTATATTCAGACTCTCCAAGTTACGGCGGTCGTATTTTAATGAGCGATTTAGTGGGCAACTTCATTTCTGTTAAATTTGTGTCACGGTGCGCGTGCATCGTAAAATTTCACTCTCATCAATTTTTCACAACGCGCCTAAAGAACTTCAATAAAATTTGTAATAGTGGTCTGCATATATTCTATGAAAAACTTGACATATTTTTATTAAAAAAAAAGGATTTGTATTACATACTTATTCTATTGGTCATATAATAATTTAATCTTATTGGCAATGTAGTAATGTAGGCAGCGGCTTGGCTCTGTCCCTGGCGCATTGCTGACGTCGATAAGCGACGCTGACCACTTACCATCAGGTGGGCCATATGCTCGTCTACTGCTCGCATGTTGCCTAGAAAGGCAATAAAAAAAACCTATAGTCCTATTAAATTATTATATTATTATTGATCAATACTATTCCACAGATTTACACTAATGTTTCAAAGTGGCTACATTCACATTTTTATGAATATGTCAATGTCCCTATTGATGCGTGTCTATTTACCAACAAATACATTGACATGACAAAATATCTTTTCTTTGACTTAACCTATTTCACATTTCACATTAATTAAATAGGAATATACCTTTTAATCTTTCACATTGTTTTTTTGTAATTATAACCATTTCAAATTAAGGTGTGTCTCAAACAGTAGCTACAAGTAGATACAAAGTGGAAATTTTATCTTCTAAATATAAATAAAAGAAGTTTTAATTGCCTGTATATCTTCTTCTTGTGCTTCTTCATGTACATTACTGACAAACAGGATCCAGCCTTCAACTGATCTCTGAGGTCCTGGTGTACCGCTATCGCCTTCCGGAGCTAAACTGTCGTATCTGCAACAAAACAATACAAAGTTTTGGCCACTGTTGGACATGTTAAGCCTGGTTCGGTTGTGGGTTTTTCCAGAGTGGAAACAGAGCTTCTGTTGATTAGCAAGAAATATTATTATTCAGTACAATGGAAAATGACAAAATCTGTGTATTACCTTCCGCGGTTACCCCGTTCTGCAGCACTGCCTCCACCGGCTTCGTTGCCAAAACCACGACCTTTTCGCTTACGTGCCTTCTCCTTAAGTCTAGCGATTCCCTCTGTAACATTTTTAAATACTGTAATTTTACACTAAATTTTTTTTTTATTGTTGGGTGCATGATCTCACAGCCCACCTGTTGTTTAGTGGTTACTGGAGCCCATAGACATCCACAATGTAAATGCGCCATCCACCTTGAGATATAAGTTCTAAGGTCTCAAGTATACAACGGCTGCCCGGCTGCTACGGCAGAAATAGGCAGGGTGGTGGTACCCACCCGCGCGGACTCACAAGAGCTCCTACCACCAGTATATTATGTGTTATTTTTGGAAATCAACAACATTACAATTTTTAGTTTACTTTAAGCTTAATTTAGTGCAAGAATAATTATAAAACACGTAAGAATCACCAATGTAATGTCCTAAAGCACGAAATATGAAAAAATGGGGAACAAGCAATCTATATGTTAGATTTATATGTCTTAACAAGTCTGGTGTGCATCATTTTGTATGTGTGCATTTAAATTAAACCCAGTGGTGAAAGTTTAACGTCGACCGGCGATAATAACATTACAAATGTAAAAAAAATTCAGTCGGAAATTATAACCTTAATTGAGACAACATTTCCCGTTTTATGTCCACACATAATTGCTTGTTTAAGCTACGAGCAGACTTTACAGATAATGAATAGGAAACAAAATTTGATTAAAATATTTTTAATAATATCAATTGTTCCACTTACGTTCACCATCTTCGTCGACTTCAAATTCTTCTGAATTTTCGATATCTAGCACGTCAGCCATGTTTTATAGTAGATTTACGTTATGAGAAGTAGTAAATAATTTAAATAAAATGTAATTAATAAAGATGTATTTATCTAGAGACCATATGAGTTTAAAAAATCAAAAAGTTACACAAATTAATCTTGAAAACTCCGCATCAAACACGACCACCATAGATTATTCCATAGATTATACACTTATTATATTTGAGAGATTATTCATAGATAAGACATGTATACGACAATCACATTTTTAAAGGACTTTATGACCTGGTAACTAAGACTTTTAGGTCAAGACTTATTTTAATTTTAATGAAAACTTTTTTTATATGAAATATGGCAGGAAATTAAATTGAATGGAAATTAAAACGAAATGAAATGAAAGGAGATGAGATGATATGGGATGAAATATAATCTCAGGAAAATGGTGGACATTTAGTGAGACTTTTTCAGTGCACTTTTTGGAAGATCCCGAGAAATTACGTTCGGCGGCTTTGTTTCATTTTCACACATTTGTGCACTTACACAGTTACTAAACAGATAATAAACCACCGTTATTACGCCTTTAAACTCGAAGAAGCACTAAATAGACAAAACAAAACAGATCACAAAACTTCATTCCTCGCGTTCCCGTCAAAAAGTCCCACAACAATCGTACATCAACGTCAAAAATAGATAATATACATAATAGAAGTGTATTGTATAGAACTGTATTTTAAATGGCATTAAGTCCGCCTTTATACTGTCAAGTTTATAAAGTTATGGCGAAGCTGAAATTTAATAGCCTCTCAAGGCTATCAGAATAAGTAGGAAAAAATAAAAAAATAGCACAAATAGATATCTACTTCAAAAAAAATGTCAATTTTTTTTTTCATAAATATGATTAAAAAACCACCAAAAAAAGGGAAGGATTGCCAAAAAAATTATGTTATATGTATACATTTATTAATCATCATACAAATTTCCTCGAATAATATGAAACTGTTCTCTCTCTCTCTCTCTTCGATCGGTTCCTCACTGCTGAGGATCGTGACTCCGTCCGATTTCGTCAACCAACTGTCTCCATCGATCCCGCCCTGCAGCCCGGTGGAGTGCGTCGCTGATAGGTATCCCCAGTTCCTCCGCTATTTGTTACTTAATTATTATATATATTTATCACTTTCACTTCTTTTAAGTACAATGCAATTTTCAATGATATTCGAAAATCATAAAATATGATTAAATTATTTCAAATATGAAAAGAACTTCTAACTTTTGATCTTTCTTTTTAATTCTTTAGTTGAAATAAATGCGATTTTTAAAATTTTAATATACTCTTTAAGCTTGTGAATTTTTTATCATCTGAAAATAAAAAAGAATAGAGTAATCAAATAAATAATAATCAATGTCAAACTAACTTTCAGAGTTTCAGTCTATTAGCATACATTGAAATGAAATTAGTAGTAAAATCATGAGTGACTGTAATTTATTAGAAAACGATGTGGATGAAAAATTGATAATAACGAAAAAAACTAAAAGTTCTCTTTTCTCAGAATGGAAATTCAAATCATCCATTCCGACCCCGCGTTCTTCGCCTCCACCCAGCAGAGTTGGTGAAACTATATTTAATAATTATAATGATCTAATTGACTCAAAAATTAATATTGTCAACCATACTAAGCAAACAGAACAAATTGAGAAACCTTTTGATTTTTTCGATGATGAAGAATTTGCTTTCGGCATCAATATTTTGAATAAAAACGTAGCATGCGTCGGAGACAATATTACTAAACTTGTCCAAATGGGTTAGTAACTTCATTTAAAATTGAATGTCTTTTCTAATTAGTGTTCAAGTAAATCAAACTTCTACTTCTTCAGACCTAAGCCTTCTACCAAATGCAGAGAGGAGGTCTCTTCCATCTATTTCCATTTCTGTGTGCTTAGTGCAAGTTTTTTAACGTTGTTTGTTTGAACTCAAATTTGTATAGAATTGGAACGTTTGCCGCTAGGGGGGCACTGTTCCAACTTCATACAAACTTGAGTTAACTTTTACGCTATCGAGAACGTTAAAAAACTCACACTAAGCAAACTACTTAAAGGTCTTTTTTTAGGGTATACTCACCCGGTTAATCCTTTTTATTTTTTGTGTACATACAACCATTAACTAATTTTATTTCCCAACTTTAGTACTCAATGAAATGCCAACTTAAAGATGTTTTTTCTGGCTTTGGGCATTGTAATAAATTGAATCTAGCAAACTGGAAATAAATTACTATTTCTAAATATGACTTTGATATTGACTTTCACAGTGTACTTATTATTTATAATTGTTAACGTACATAATGTACGTGAAAACTTAATTTTTCTTTATTAGGTTCTAGTAATCATACGTTTTTAATTTTATAGTATTATTTATGTTAAGGGGAACGGAACGAAAAGAAGTTTTTTGAATTTCCAGTAAATTTACACTGTGGTACGTGACTTAATTACATTTTATATCATCGACTTACCAGCTCATTTTACCTCTTTTTCTATTCTTGTTATTATTATCATTATATTCCATTCTTTTGTCGAATTGGTCATGTCTTTTCTTTAGTTTTAAATCTATCAAAAAGTAATATATGATCGATGTTTCTTTTGTCTCTGAAATAGATGATCCAAACAAAATAAGAAACAATCAAATGTCAAACATAAATGTCAGTTGTTATCTTCAATTGTATTGTTTCGGGAATTTATAAATCGGAATAGAAAGTTTTATTTAAGAGAATTTGCCGTCAGATTAATTAAAATAATGCCGGAATTCAACTTATCTGATTCTATAATAACCTCTTTGAATGGTGAGTTTTATTTTGAAACAGACTAAACAGGTTTAACCGCGAGTGTCGTTACATAATTTATGTTTGGAATATCTATTATGTTTTATGACATAAACTTTTAATTTTAGAATACCGGTGTCCTATTTAATGTTATTATTGGTACAGTGTCGTAAGGTTGCGTAATTCCATCGGCAAAGAAAAAAACAAAATGAAGTTCGACGATCCCTTCATTTTCGGTATTTAAATAAAAATCGTACAATATTTGATTTTATAATTTTTCTTTTACGTGTTGTTTTCTCAGAAAATGTTTTTGTAACTAACTGGTTGGAGTTTTCTACGAATAATTAATAAAAAAAATTGTGTAGGCCACATTTTCCATTCTATGAAAAAAAAAAAACTTTCATGTCTAAATATTTAAATATCATTAGATCTACCTGCATGAAAATATGAATTGGAAGTTAATCCATAAATGTAATTAAAATCAATTAACATATTATATTATACATAAAACACATATATTTCAAATACATTTTACAACGACCACAATTATGTACCTAGAATAAAAATTATTAATTTAACCTCCAGGGAGTAACGTATTTGTAAGCAAAACTTCTTCTTCTTTGTCTCCAACTTTTAAACTGGTGGTAGGACCTCTTGTGAGTCCACACGGGTAGGTACCACCACTATTTATGCCGTGAAGCAGTAATGCGTTTCGGTTTGAAGGGTGGGGCAGCCGTTGTAACTATACTTGAGATCTTAGAACTCGTATCATTTACATTGTAGATGTCTATGAGCTCCAGTAACCACTTAACACCAGGTGGGCTGTGAGCTCGTCTACCCATCTTAGCAATAAAAAAAAAAACTTATCCCACTAGGTGGGGTTGGCACAGAGAATTTTCCTATTCCATTCTCTTCTATCAGCCATCATCTCAACACTCACTGCTCTCTATCTCTTAGTCATTCACACACTCCATCCATGTCTTCTTCTATCGACTTCTTCCTCCTCTACCTTGCACTACCATTTCCATTCATCTCCTAGTCACATGCATCTTCTCTCTACGCATCACATGTCCATACCACGCTAACCTTCTACTCTTTAATTTATTAATTACCGCGGCTACTTTCTTTACGTTACTTTGTATTTGTAAGCAAAATGGGGTTTGAAATCACTGATTTGTAAATTTTTGTAAATATGTTTTATAAATATGTTCTATACATTACAACTAGGAAACTGCATTTTCTTTGTGTGAATACAGTTTTTATATGCATTTGCATTATATATTTGCATATGTCATTTTTCAGTGTTATATTAAATTTGTGAGCCCCACTACTTATTTTTGTTACTAGAAATTGTTCATCGACAACAACTAGATATAACCATGATAAAATCTCAATGTATATATAAATAAATACAAAAATAAATACAAAGTGAACATAAGTTATTCTAAATATAAAAATGAAGTGACACACACACAAGACACATATAATTTCTACACAAAATTATTACATTTAATATGAATATTAACTTAACTATTAATTTTAAATATAAACTTTGAAAATACTCTTTTGGTTTATGATGTGTTTGAGTGTGCAAAAGAAAATCCATTTAAGACTGGATGGACCATGAAATAACAGTTTTTCATACTAAATTTGTTAATATAATGTTGTCAAATTACACATGACTGATTTTAGCCCAAGAGCCATGGCCGGATAATGTGAAACTTTATCAGCCTTATGAAGTTGAGCAGATATTGTTACCTGACAATGCGAGCTGTCTGGCAGTACAAGCATTTCTGAAGGTTTGTTTCGTGAATTTTAGTCCAGACTAGCTGACCCAGCAGACTTTGTAGTGCCTCAATCGATAAATAAAATACTTAAACTTTTGTATAAAATAAACTTAAAACAAACAGAAAGAATCCGTCCAAAGAGGGACACATCAAAGGAAAAACAAAATTGTTATTTTTATTCATTTCCAAACATTTCTATATTTATCTACCCTTTAAACTTTCTCTGGACTTCCACAAATAATTCGAGACCAAAATTAGCCAAATCTGTCAGCCGTTCTCGAGTTTTAACGAGACTAACGAACAGCAATTAATTTTTATATATATAGATATAATATTATAAATTAGAAACAAAACAAAATAAAGTTGACGTTTGTTTCAGATGTGTAATCTTCCATTCGAAGTGGAGATGCGCTGGAATGCTGAATTCATGTCTCCATCGGGACGCGTCCCCTTCATTAAGTGCGGTGCTTTTGTCGTATCCGAATTGGAGCCTATCGTTCAGTTTGCCGCGAACAAAGGTGTCACATTGTGTGCTCAACTTTCTACGGAGGAGAAAGCCGAGATGAGAGCGTATATGAGCCTCATTACTAATGTTTTGGTTAACGCCGAAGTGAGTTATATTATTAGGAACGAAAATTAGTTCAGTATAGTCATTTTTTATATGGATACACTGTTGTTTTTTTTTTTTGTTTAAAATAACTTGTCAGTCCTAACGGTTGATTATTGAATATGGATAAAGTTTTTCAGTATATTTTTAGCCCTATTTTATATTTATATTTAGCTGTAGTATTATTAAGACATGGTGTGAAATGGTTACACGATAATGAGATGCAAAATTTGAGAGATCTGGACACACTGGACAGTAATCTATACTAATATATCAAAATCTACAGTGGTTTTTATGGATGTTCTGTTATAACTACTAAACCATGCATCCGATTGACTTGAAACTTGGTATCCATGTAGAAAATACATGTACTTAATGGATAGGTAAATATTTATACGAGTGTTGGACTCCCTAATAATAATGACAATAAATAATAATGTTAATTTTAAATGCCCAGCGAAGCGGGCAAGTACGGCTAGTGTTATAATACAATTGAGTCTTCCTCGGGTCTTAAATAGGCCACAGATGCTTCAAAGTACCTTTTAATTTCCAAGTTCATGATCCATTTTTTGCACAGTCAAATTTCTTTTACAGCTCTACATATCCTGGTTGGATAATGACACGTACAACGCGGTGACCAGAGTGAGGAACTCCTCAGTGTACCCATGGCCCTTAGGCTGGTTGCAGACTCGACAGAAACGTAATGCTGTAGCTAAGCGGCTGAAGGCTCTGCATTGGCACGAGAAGAGCCTCGACCAGGTTCTAGCTGACGTAAGTTTTGATAGCATATCATTCTTTTGCTCCAAATAGGTGGCGACTATGTCCAATTTCTATGGGCATGAATCATGTTAAAAAACGGTCCATTGTGAGGCTTATCATGTCTCATACGCTCTGCACAGAAGTCTGATCTTGCCACGAAAAGATCTCAAGCGCACTGCCTGGAAGTCTTAAAAAAATGGTTCGGCAATCAACGTGTTAAAAGAGCAAAAGTGATAGATTTTTATTTATTTTTATTGCTTAGTTAGGTGGACGAGCTCACAGCCCTCTGGTGTTAAGTGGTTACTGGAGCCCATAAACATCTACAACGTAAATGCGCCACTCACCTTGAGATATAAGTTACAACGGCTGCCCCACCCTTCAAACCGAAACGCATTACTGCTTCACGGCAGAAATAGGCGGGGTGGTGGTACCTACCCGCGCGGACTCACAAGTGGTCCTACCACCAGTAATTACGCAAATTATAATTTTCCGAATTTGATTTAGTTTGGTTTTGATTAGTTAATTAAACGAATTGAAGATTTCATTTCACAGTTATATCGCAGTAGCGGCTGGTCCAATGTCATGAGCGGAAGCGTTTTTCTCGACTAGAACGGAGCTGGTCCAAGTCACGACAGAGAGTCGGTCGCGTATATGAGTCGTCTATTATCAAAGCCGGCAATCTGACTTTTGAACAATATTGGTAAATCAGAAAAACGAATTTTTGACTTTGTATTCCATTGGCAGTCACAAAACTCTTCGGAACGACATCTTAGATAAATAACAGGTTAACTATTAACCTTTATTTAATGCAGGTTTTGAACCGTATTCTTTGAAGGAGACGATTATATTCAAATCAATCTGTATTGACATATCAATAACATTTTTTTGTCCAAATGCACAGATTGCCACCTTTGATAATAGACGACTCATATATCCGTGAATAGCTTATACAAAAAATGCTTGTTGATTTTCAGGTCGAACAGTGCTGCAACTCTTTGAGTCAAAGATTGGGCGATAAGGACTTCTTCTTCGGGACCACGTGAGTATATTAATGTTATTATTTTTTATTTTGGTAGAATTAAGGACTTGTAAATTGCCATTTTGCAGATTAATAAAAAATAAAATGAATGTGAATTATCGTAAATTATGATAGTCTGTCATAAATTTAAAAGCTAATTCAAAATGTACTTAACGTTTTTCAACTTGAACCAATGAGAAGATTCTAGAAGTTCTGTTTCAGAATTTCAGAAACTTTCTCTCTTCTAGAATAATCTAAAAATATTTATCTAACCCACATTCCAAAATTGAAATTTATATTACGGGTGGATGTCATTTACTTACTTACTTACTTACTTACACACATTACTTGTGGTAGGACCTCTTGTGAGTCCGCGCGGGTGGGTACCACCACCTTGCCTATTTCTGCCGTGAAGCAGTTATGCGTTTATACTTAGGCCTTAGAACTTATATCTCAAGATGGGTGACGCATTTACGTTGTGGATGTCTATGGGCTCATGTAACCACTTAACACCAGATGGGCTGTGAGCTCGTCCACCCATCTAAGCAATAAAAAAATTAAAATAAACTTAACACGATACCGTTTGTATTTAATGTCCGGGACCTCTATGTATCTATGTCATCTTTTTCCGGACATTACTTTTAACACGTACCACTCGACTCCCCTCCACGTTCCTTCTAGAACATTTTAATTGGGCTTTTAAATTAGGCTTCGAAGCCATCTCTGGTATGTCCACCAGCGAGATGACCATCGGGTTTGATTGTTATCCTCCGAAGGCAATACAAAAAAAACTTGCCTATTTTGAAGGTAGTTCGAAGTAATCGAGAATTCGTCCTTGGTGATGGTAACCGCGAACCACTCAACATCAGCTGGTCCGTGAGTGTAAATATCCAGCATGAAATACAGTTGTAGATAGTACTATTTTTCCAACTGGAAAGGCAAAGGTATTATACCATACAGCCTAAAGATTAGGCTATGATGATACCGTATACCATACAGCCTAATTTTTTAATTATTTTTAAATAAAATTAAAGTTAATAAATCACCACAGTTATTACACATTTGAACACTAAATAGACAATAAAGAATTCACACAACTTCGCTCCTCGCGTTCCCGCTAAAAACTCCACAAGATATAGGTATAGGTTTTTTTTTTCGTGCTTAATCTCGTTGCCTTAGTGGCCATGCCAGCGTAACCAAGCGACGTGTATACAGAACTATACAGAACCACCCCCCTCCATGTTCCAGTCCGACTCCCATAGACGCTCTTGTTTCCGGTCACGTGCGAGCTTTGCTGTCCGCCTCCGGTCCAAAGTCCACGTGCATTATCAAACCCATAACCAGTACGTTGTTGAGGCACGTTGTCCGGGTCGTGAACTTCACGAATATGATGTTGACGGTTCGTTTTTGTGTTATCGTTTTAATGTACAAGGTATATTACCGTTATTATCATTATCATTAGCATTATCATTATCATTATTATTTTCATTGTTATTGTCATTATCATTATCATGATCTTGATCATGATCTTGATCATGATAATAAACGGGCAGCCGTTGTAAATATACTTAAGACCTCAGAACTCATATCTCAAGGTGGGTGGCGGCATTTACGTTGTAGATGTCTATGGACTCCGGTAACTACTTAACACCAGTTGGGCTGTGAGCTCACAAATATTCACCTTTTTTTTCTTCATATTTCCTACACGACCCTAGGGAGACACCAATAGGCACAGCCCATTGAGTATTTTGCCCTATCTTCTCAGTGGGTCGCGTTTCTGATCCAATGGTAAAATCTGCGAAGCACTGCTTTTGCTAGGGCCAGTGTTAGCAACACTCCCGGTTTGAGCCCCGTGAGCTCACCCACTAGTTCGGTGAATCTAGAATAACCCCTCGAAGTTACTGGAATAGATAGGAAAAAAAAAGTCAAGTACCCACCCATTTCATCCTGTATAAACTTTTTTTTTAATCGTCGATCAGCCTCAAGAGGAATATTTAATTACCCAAGCGTTCCAAGTGACGAGCCGACGTTTATCTCCCAATCGTACAGCATCCGAAAGAAGCACGCGCATGAAACGATCCAAAATGAGCATACTGAATCCGACACGAGATCCGATACAGTATAGCGGTAGAGATGTTTTCGGTAAGATATTTGTTGGGCCTTGCTATGGTTTGATCCCTTTACAAGAGAAATGAGCTTAGAGAGATATACAAAGAAAGGGAAGATCTTCCACCGAGTGGGTGATATTGTTTGGCAGACCGATGGCAGTGTTGCCAACCCCGAGAAAATAAAAAACAACTACTCACCAATAAAAAAACAGCGAGAAAATAGTAGGTTAAGTAAGAAAGGCAGATTTCATACTACCCTCATATAATTAAAACAGTCACCTAATTTTATTCGTTACCAGGATTCACATACATTGTTATATTTTAATATTGATCACAACATAATAAAAGACTAATTCAAAGTAAACTTATTTTCCACTTTCATCCTCAGTTGCCTCATCTTCAGTGTGGTTTCAGACTCTTTTTCCTTTTTTTTAAATCATTCATATTTTTGTTAAATTTCTTTATATGCTTTCTGTGGGTTCAAATGAGTAGCAATCGGTTATTTTGGGTGTAGTGTAGATCTAGATTTTGCAAAGTGTAATAAGTGTCACTGAACGCTAATTGAAAAACAGTAAATAATAGGAATGAAACAGAAAAAGGGGCATAAAGTGAAAACGGCTAGTCTACTGTTAAAACAGTAAGGTTTGTAATACTGACCGACGGTCCGAATGTTGTTGTTCGGAACTTGTATATATGCAAGCTTATCTTGAAAATGTCGTAAGCGAGATTCAGGCATCTGTCAAATATCTTGCGTTCTATGATGGCTACCCACAAGCTCATTGCATTGAAAATCTCCCCTGACCGCAACTCGGCTGAACGCGATTTCGTTTTGTATGACGTCATTTGTGGTCAAAATAAACAATGGTCTAACATTGAGCACGTGTAAGATCATTCATTGTGATACTATTTAGCTTGATCTGAAGTGATGCTAGAATTCTTTTAGTAATTTAACAGGATACAGAATAACGTTATATTTGTAGAAATGCCGACAGTAAATTGTGATCTATTTCTTTATTTCCCTCAAAGCCGTTTATCTGGGAAGCCATACTTTATAACATTGTAATAGATTATGTATGATTCAAGATAATCTGTCGCTAATATTAATGATGGAACTCTCCCAAATCTACTCTTAGTCTCTGAGCGTATTTATGTCACATTAGGGTTTGTGGCTTCTATTTAACCCCGATAATTTATCTATATATCGAAGGGTGAAAAGCTATTTGTTTTAAGCGTCATTTCACTTAATAATAATAATAATAATGAAAAGCCTTTTATTTCGTACAAGTGACATAAAAAGTGACATAAAAACAAAACTTAATGCAATTCTTAACTAACAAATAATGTATCTGTTGAATAATATTAGGTATTATTTCCCACTTGCAAGAACCCCTCCTGGGGTAAAGGCCTCCTCCAAGGATAGCCAATCTTCTCTGGATTGCGCAATTTTAACCCAGTTTGTAGTTCACTTAATACGCTACATTTATTTTTGCAATTAAAGGTCCGTTTTATTTGGTATTAGCATCAACATTTCGATTTTCTTAATTGAACTTCAATTAAGTTTACCCCATTCGAATAGTTGAAGAAGTTTTTTTGTTATGATATTTTGTATCAAAATTTTAAATATTATATGGTTCTCCTGTAACATTGAAAAAATGTCACTTAAACCAATAGCCTTTCAGCGCTCGATATTGTTTCTTGTTACTAAAGTCCAGTAGCTTTAGTTTAATTGGTATCCGTATATTGAATTTAACAGTCGGGCAGACTGATGGGAGTCTTCTGACTTATAGGATTACGTATGCTCACGAATTTTAAACTATATCGTATATTATAAATGCCTTTAAAAACAGGTTTCAAGCCGTTCGCTTCGAAGCAAATAATCATATTGACTTCGAAGGGGGGAGATATATCGTTCGAAAACAGCGGTCGAAAATCTAATAATAAATTGAATATCGATAAGGAAACTTACAAATACATAATCGATTTGATCGACGAATTATTCGATAAAGTCGACGAAGCGATTCTTGATAATTACGCGGAGACGGATTTGGAGAGAAATGATTTTGAGATAATAGCGTTCCCCGGCGACGTTGTTTGTATCGATACGAAAGTTAACGATTATTTGGATACGATAGACGAAATCGATAATGCCGATACGACGATTTCGATCGATACCGAGGAAATTCTCAACGACAATGACAGCGACGGTCTGGTTGTCAATAAAATGCTGGGCCAAGAAAACGTATTGGGCACTTTTGACAATGACTTTAGGTAATTTTTTTTCTGTTAAATAATTTTGTTTACATTTTAAAATAGACAATCGTCTAGTAGCTGAATGATGTAGATTAACATTACGAACATTAAGATTAACATAGGACCATTATGATAATATAAATATCAAATTTTGTTTTTTAGTAATGATTAATTTTAAATGTAATTAGGAGGGTTAGGGTTTTTTGGGGCACGCGCTCGAAGTCTCATATGCAAAATAACGATTGCACCACCCTTGTAAAGTGTAAAGTAAAAACCGTTATAATTTGGTAGGGAGGGTAGTTGAAAAAAAATCGCGGCGAATTGGGGCTTGTGACGTCATTGCGGAATTAGCTGGTCATCGTTCTCGTTGAACCCGTCGCTTACGACGAAGGGCTCGGCGAGTAAATTAACCCACAAACAGAGTCCACTGAGTTTCTCGCCGGATCTTCTCGGTGGGTCGCGTTTCCGATCCGGTGATAGATTCTGCGAAGCACATTTCTTGCGAGGGTTCGTGTTAGCAGCATCGTCAGGTTTAAGCCAAGTGAGCTCACCTACTAGTTAAGGTTACGCTGATATGCTCTCTCTAGACCACCAGCATAGGTAGGGAAAAAAAACCCACAGCGGCATTATAATTCGGTTGTGCTAGAGACAGAGCCTATCATCTTGTTGCTCACCTGCTTAAAATATTAGTTGCCATATTAAACTACTTTTTTTGTTCTTCCTACCTATGCTAATAGCTTTGAGAGGCTATTTCAGCTTCTCCTCGACGTGTAGGTGAGCTCACGGGGCTCAAACCGGAATGAAACAAGAAACGTCATTAGTAGCACTTACTAACAGTAGCGTAGCTTGAATAGGTCCTTAGGTTATCAGCGAATAGGTAGGGGGAAGAGAAATATATAGTAAAATGTGTAATGTTGTATTTACTTTTAAATACATACATAAGTCGTCGTGGCCTAAAGGATAAGACGTCGTGCATTCGTATGAAGCGATGCACCGGTGTTCGAATCCCGCAGGCGGGTACCAATTTTTCTAATGAAATAAGTACTCAATAAATGTTCACGATTGACTTCCACGGTGAAGGAATAACATCGTGTAATAAAAATCAAACCTGCAAAATTATAATTTGCGTAATCACTGGTGGTAGGACCTCTTGGGAGTCCGCACGGGTAGGTACCACCACCCCGCCTATTTCCGCCGTGACGCAGTAATGCGTTTCGGTTCGAAGGGTGGGGTAGCCGTCTTAACTATACTGAGACCTTAGAACTTATATCTCGAGGTGGGTGGCGCATTTACGTTGTAGATGTCTATGGGCTCCAGTAACCACTTAACATCAAGTGGGTGGTGAGCTCGTCCATCCACCTAAGCAATAAAAAATAAAAAAAACATACATACATATTTAGAATTTGTTTTTGAAGTGAAACTTCTTTAGAATCGTTGTGATTTCAAACACGATGAAACGAAAAAATAAGTCCATAGAGAGACAAACATATAAATGTATAGGATTCAGCCGGCGAGAGAATGAGATAGAACACATTAGACGTGAAGTTAAAATATCAATTCACAGAGGGCGCTACCTCATACTATAAAAAGAGGACTTACAATTATTTACTAATGACAAAATTTTACATATACTTAGACATTTGGGATAATTAATTGTATTTGAATTTTTGAAGGTTTCACTTCTACCACGTGTGATTTGTACACATGTTTTTTTGTTTTTGTTTTTTGATTTCTGAACAATTAGTCAAAATGAAAATGACCAAGGAGTGTTTGAGTCGTCGAGCGGGAGCCACAATCGAATCACCGATAGTTGTTCGAAGTGTAATTCCCAAAGCGTCGCTGTGTCGAGAGGTTCTAATTTTTTTTTTTTTTTTCTGTTATGAGTATTTTTCTGTTGCCGTAAATTAGCATCCCAGGGCCTAATGAAAAAAAAAAAAAGTCTCAATATTTACTTGAGGCAGAGGGATTAAAATTATGGAGGGCAGAACTAAAGAGAACCGTCTCTGTGTTTAAAAAGTGTCCGTTAAAATCTGCTAAATAAGGGCGGCGCTACAGTAGCAACCGGGGGAAAATTTTAAAAAAGGCGTTGAAAGTTGTTAGAATAAGACAGAGAAATAAAAAAAGACGAAAGAACTGTAAGCACTGTGGTGGGTAGCCATCATACAACGCAAGATAATTGACGTCTCATGATCTCATATGAGACGGTTCTCCTTACCTCTACCCTCCATAATCAAAATGTATTGGTTCAGAATTAAAAAAAAGACGCCACTTATTCTTTTTAGCCAGTACACGTTGTTAGATTATAATTGAGTCGTCTATTATCAAAGGTGGCAATCTGTGCATTTGGACAAAAAAATGTTATTGATATGTCAAAACAGATTGATTTGAATATAATCGTCTCCTTCAAAGAATACGGTTCAAAACCTGCATTAAATAAAGGTTAATAGTTAACCTGTTATTTATTTAAGATGTCGTTCCGAAGAGTTTTGTGACTGCCAATAGAATACAAAGTCAATAATTCGTTTTTCTGATTTACCAATATTGTTCAAAAGTCAGATTGCCGGCTTTGATAATAGACGACTCAATTATTGTACGTAACTATAGACTTTAGATCAGGAGTAGTAATAATTAATACGAGACATTGTCAGGTTCAGAAAAGACGTTCAAAATACCTAGCAAAGAAGAGATTAGCGTTGAAAGTCTATTGAAATGTCTCCGCGAGAGAAATGCGGCCTCAAGTAACTACACCATTGTGGATGTGGATTAAAAAAAAAAACAAAAAATTAAAAACTTTTTTATAACTTGTTTTGAATTGGCGGAATAAAATGGCATGCAATAGTTTGTGTTTTATTTGTTCGGTGTTCTGCAAAATGGTAATTTTATTTATGTTATTATAATTTACATATATTATTATATTTGGGTGGTAGTAATAAATTCATTGTTTATGTAATCTATAAAAAAATATGTTGAAAATCATCTTATTGGCTATCTTATTGATTGATTCGATAGTGCAGTGGTTAGCGGTACTGACTATTGCGCTGAGGATCGTGGGTTCGATTCCCACATCGGACAAATTTTTGTGTGATGAATAGGTTTGTTTGCTATTTATCTGGGTGCTTATTATTTATATATTTAAGCGCTTTATAAATAAGTTTGTTAGTCTCCGGTCCCAACATTTTTTATTGCTTCGATGAGTGGACGAGCTTACGGCCCACTTGGTGTTAAGTGGTTACCGGCCCCTAGACAACTACAATGTGAATGCCGCCGCCTATCTTGAGATATGAGTTCTTAATCTCAGTTTTGACAGTATAACGGCTGACTCACTCTTTAGACCGAAACGGTCTGAACGGTTACTGCTTGACGGCAGAAATAGCTAGAGTAGTGACATACCCGATCCTATGAACCGAATGGTAAACAGTCGTCGTCGCTCAAAACACGTCATTACGGATCATCCCGATTCATTAACGGTGCTTTTAGGTGCCATAATCACCGGTCACCGTCCCCGCGGAACCCGTCGCTTGCGACGAAGGGTTTGACGAGCGATTTAACCCACAGACACAGCCCACTGAGTTTCTTGCCGGATCTTCTCAGTGGGTCGCGTTTCCGATCCGGTGGTAGATTCTGCGAAGCACTGCTCTTGCTAGGGTGAGTGTTAGCAATAGCATCACTCCGGTTTGAGCCTCGTGAGCTCACCTACTAGCTAAGGTTACGCTGAAATAGTCTTAGGTAGGAAAAATACACAAAAAAAATAAGGTAGTGGTACCTACCCTTGCGGACTCACAAGATGTCCTACCACCAGTAACAGCTTAAATGGTCACTGTAAAGAGTGTTCAGAAATATGAATAGATCGCAGATTGGATCTTGTAAACCTTAAAACGAGTTCTCTTCCTACAGCCCAACGGAACTGGACGCTTTGATATTCGGTCACGTCTTCACGATCATCACGACCCGTCTCCCGTGCAGGAGGCTGGCAGAGACCGTTCGTAGGCACGAAACTCTCGTGTCTCTCGCGAAGAGAATCGACGAGAGATACTTCAAGAGGCCATAGCGTGAGGTTTTCAAGGACATCTCCACTGTATTTAAGAGTCCTTGAAATCTACCTTCCCTCATTGTTGGTCTGTGTGTGTGTGCGTGCGTGACTGTTGTATTGTACAGTATACATAGCTTGTTAACTATTAGAAATAAAACCGGCAATGTATGTCGAATGCAATCGGAACATTAACTTGTGACGGTAGGCGATGGTATAATATTGGCATCGATGTTCCAAACATCGACTTTCTGATAGTAATTCATGCAAGTTTTCGACGTGCTCTCGGCACAGCTGATGATAGCGATTACCGTAGCCCATGGACATCCAAGTGAATGCCGCCACTCAATCAATGTAAAATAGAAAACTTTTGTATTGATGTGCCTTTGGAAAACATACAGCATTGTATTATGAAGAAGCAGTGTGTACTTAGCTTAGATTCCTTGTCTATGTCCAACCATAGACAGTCAATTTAGTTCCATCTTTAGCCGCTAGGTGCTGCCAGCAAGTATAAAGGGAGCGCAGCCATCTTTGATCTTCATAGCGTTGTGTACTTTCGTACTGTGAAGTCGCAAGTCCACAAATATTTATTCGACTTCTTATTAATTGCAAAAAATATTTATTTTGTGTTTCTATGAGTGTTATTTTGCAATCATTACGAGTATTATTTACCAATCCTATCATCGGACGCCATGAATCACGCGTCATCTGTTGGAGGTGATGTTGAGTCAAGCTCCATAATTTCCGAGAGGGAAGATGTCCAGGCGAGACGCGATGGAGACGCCTCGCGTTCGAACAGCTCGTCAAGCGAAAAAGAACAAAAGGAGTCTCTGCGTAAGAAACGACGGGATTCAAAGGTAACGGTCGATCTTCGAATCGGCTCGTTATCCCACCAGGTCAGTGACGTTGTAAATCTAATAATGCATCAACTGTGTGTAACAATTGAATGTAACGAAAATTGTTGTAAACAAATTGATCTCGTCAATACGGAAATTTTGACAAAAACACAACAGATTTAAACTAATAATCTTTGTAACATAATTACTGAAAACTTTGACAAATCGTCTCCGTCGTACAAGTTACCCGTAAAAAGCGTTTTAAATTGTATACGGAAAAAAGGGCCGTATG